ATAAAACTTCATAACCTCACTTTTTGAACAAGCTCCAAAAGCTCAAAAATCCATCATTGACTATCTCGGTCTGATACCAAATTGTTGAATTTAAAACTCAAAAAGAACTATTTTATTGATATAGAATCAATTATACAATTTTGGACACATACACCAATGTCACTCAAAATGAAAACAATCAATCCACTAACTATTTTTCAGCAGTAGGGATGGCAATGGGGTGGGGGCTGGGGCGTCTCGCCCCACGCCCCGTTACCCGTTTAGGGCGGGGCAAGGTCGGGTCAGGGGGGCGGGGTCCTTGCTCCGTTTACTATCCGTTTAAATTTTTTTTATATAAATAATTTATTTTTATTATCTATATTCATTAGATTAGACAAATAATTTTAGTCGTTATTTTCTATTAGAACTAATAAAATTTTGTGAAATTTTTTATTTAAAGTATTGAATTCTAAAAAAAAAAAAAAATTAACGGGGTTGGGTCGACCCCCAATATCCGATTAAGAGGGGTTTTCCCTGCCCCGTTCGAGGCGGGACCCCGCGGGTATCGGGTTTGTCAGGTTTTTTTATCATCCTTATTCAGCAGCACACTTTTCTCTCACTCATCATCTCTCTCTTCTCTCTCTCTCTACACATATGTTTCTCTTTACACCTTCTTACTCATCACATACACACATTCATGGCTGTAGCGGCATGGCGGTGGAAAATAAAACTATTGTTGCATTCTAGTTTCTTCTCTTATGTCGGCATTCTTGAGGAAAATTCTGGAATTTGAGCAGCAAGAAATCATCACCAAATTCGTGGAAAATTCTGGCATCTTACCTCTTAAGTCGGTGATGACTTTTAACTAAAATCGGGGGGGAAAAAAAGGAAAAAGTTCACAAAGTTATTATTAACTAAAGGGCAAAATCAGCAACAAAACCGATTTGAAAGAACCTTTTATTTTGAATTTAATATACATAAATCACAAAAAGTTGGAAAATTACACAAGAACTTCTCAAAAAATCGATAATATTAAAATAAAAAATGTAAGAGAGGGAGAGAGAATTGAACCTTTTCCAGAAATTGTAAAACAAGAATATTAGCAAAGAAATTGCGGAATTTAAGATTTTGCTATTTGTACATCAAAATTGTACATAAAGGGTTACATAATATGACGTGAAGGAAAAAGATTTGATGAAAAAGTTGACCATGTTTTAAATTGACAAATAGTAGAGTGTTACGTGACATTATGTAACCCATATTGTAACATTTGATGTACAAGTAGCAAGATCCCAAAATTTATACGGAGGTAGAAGTCCGTGTTTGTTAATGAAACGACAGTAATCATGTTGTCTGATTTAATTTACAAAAATATAAGATTGTGTTTGATGCACATTAAAATAGAAAGAATGAATTTTTTTTTTTTTTTTTTTTTGTGATGCGATTGTGAATATATGGTTAAAAAAGAATAAAAAATTATTGTTGTGATGAAAAATATTATTTTATTGAAAAATGTGTGATTGAAAATGAAAATGGGAATGTGGCTCGAACGGGGCTTAGTTTGAAAATTGAAAGTATGTCACTTGACTAGAGTTTCATTGAAAAAATCGAACCCGAGGATCCAAACCACGTTATTAAAATTAAAAATTAAGCTGATTATTTTCATAAAAGACAGTAAGAAAGAGATCTACAATGGTTTTCAGGATGCGTTTGTTGCATCGTGTAATGTTCATAGTCGTACTAAATACCAATATTCTACTATATAATTAAAATACAATACTTAAAAATCTGTTGTCGACGTTTGTCACCTTCGTGCTCAAGGTCGTTACTGGAAAGGTGTTAACTAGGGGTGGGCAAAAAGTTGAAAAATCGAACAAATCAAACTAAGTCGGATTGGTTTGAGTCAGTTTAAATCAAAAAATCGATATGGTTCGAATAATTTTAATCATTAAAAAGTTGAGTCGGGTTGGTTACGGTTTAAACACTCGACCCGTCAATTAACCGACCAAATCTGATAATACATTTTTTACTTTTTACATTTTGAAATTTATATTTTAAACTTAAAAAATAAAAATAAAAATTTTTTCCCAAATAATTTGTTACAGTCTATACACTTTTTCTACCAAAACTCTGAATTTCAAAAGAAAAGAAAAGCAATGAAAATAATTGTTTATTGTAAACTCCAAATTTATATTGTAACTTTATTTTTTACTTTGATGTAATTGTTTGTTGGTACTTATTGAATATATATGATGATTTTTGAAAAATCAATTCTTTTGCATTTACATTATAATAAATTAATAAGATGTACTACGCAAGCAAAAAAAATTATATATATAGGCAAAAAAATTTAATCTTGGATAGGTAATTTTTTTTAAATTGGACAAATGTTCAAATCGACTAACCAAACCAAACTGACCAAAACTGATTTGGTTTGGTTTGGTTTGGTCTGGTTAGATTCGATTTCAATAGTTGGATTGGATCGATTTGGATTAAAATTTATCCAATTGATCAAGTTGGTTTCAATTTCGGGTTGAGCTCGAAACTAATCCAATTCAAATCATACCCAAACCTAGTGTTAACAGTTGTTGCTTAGTACACATGGAGAAAGAGAAACACGTATGAAGGAAAGTTGCAAATATGTATAAACTGTCAAGATATTTTTAGATACATTGTAGAGGAAATTACACCAAACCTTACCTTTCAAATTTCAGCTTCAAAATTCAGGTTATAACAATTTTTTATTTTTTTTTCAAAAATCAGATTATTATTTTATTTTATTTTAATTAAAAACATATACACAACCCCCCAACAACCATACCCCTTTCTTCACTCACAAAAGTCAATCATTCCAATTTCCCAAAATCACGACAACAATTTCAAATCTCATTATGAAAGGAAAGGAAGGAAAATGAATAAATTATGACTACCACTTTTTTTTTTCTCACTAAAACCATCGTCTTATCCCTCCACAACCACCAACCACCACCTAATTCAGCCTTCAGCTGCCTATCCCAAAGCTCATGACCATATTTTTTCCCCAAAATATCCTTGTCATCATTAGATTTGTGGCCCGATGGTGGCTGTAGATCTAGTCGCTATTAGGTGGCAAAACCTATTCAAATATCTATTTTGAATTTAATCTTTGCGCTTGCTATTGTGGCGGGATATGGTGGGTCTCAATTTGGTTGTCGTTTTGCAACGATTGTGTTGGTTTTGAGGTGGTGGTTGTGGTGGTGGTCACATATTCATAGAGTATATGTCAAATGATGTGTTGATGTCTGGTGGTGGTGTCGGTGATGATGATAGGTCAAAGGTTACATGTATCAGGTTACAGATAATTTTGCATAGGTCATAGATAAATGTTCATATGTCATAGATTAAACAAAACTGGTCGCAGATCATGTTTGCAAGTTACAGGTCACAATCCAATGTGGTGGTAATAGATCACTGATCACAAGTCATTGTGCATATGTCACACATAAATGTCCATTGGTCACAGATTAAATAGAATTGGTCATAGATCATGTTTGCATTTCACAGGCCATAGCTTATATGTCAGATTCTTTGTGCACTGATAACATATCACAAACTCAAGTTCACATGTTACATGTCACATTGGATAAGTAATATATCAATGTCTACATGTCATAGATTCAAGAAAACTGGTCACATGCCATTAATTTCTCCAGCTCAGTTCTTAGAACTGGTTACAAATTCAATTAACCATATTTTGAAGGTGAGAATTGAAATTATTTGCTCATGTGAGTACTCAGTAGATTCTCTCCTTGTTTGATCTTCTGATACACAATGCCAACAAACTTCCAATTTATTACCTCAATTGTCTGGCGAGTTTTAATTAAACAGATTTCGACAGTAAGGATCGAAGTTATTTGCGCGGACGAGTTTTCTATAAATTCTATCTATGTTTGATGTTCTGATAGCTTCCAATTTGTAACCTCAATTGTTTGGTGATTTTTAATCAAACAGTTTTCAGCGATGATAATCGAGAATATGATGGATACATGTGGCTTCTTACTTCTATTCGATGGTGAATTTGTATTTTGGAGAGTCCAAATTAGATGGTAACGAAATGCTTGATTTTAGAAATATAATTTTTATATATACACTACATATATCACCTGAATTTTGAAATATTAAACTTATTTTCTTAAAATTGAAATGTGGCATACTCACAACCCAACCTTGCAAATATTACAAGGCCCAATACGACCTGCATACTCGACCTAAGTCAGGTTTGGGTTGTACAGGGCGAGACGAGCCTTCGAGCTATGATTGTTACTTTATTTCGGTTCTAATCAACTCCCAAAGGGACCAGGCCACATGAGGAATTCAGGACATTGTAGTCTGTAGATTGTGCGGAGAAAGCATCAGATCATTTTCCAATATATTTTGCTAATAAAAGAAATCATCGAGCTCAAAGTTGTCATCTTTTCGCCTCAAAACATCAAAATCGAGACTTTACGCAAATGAGATTTTACACTTTGGTGGGGCGAAGACTGAAGTGTGCACATGAAGCTATCTGCTGATGCTTTGTATGTCTCCAGCCAAGACTTCCTACAACAATATTAAGCAGTTTTTTGCATTCAAAACGAGAGAAAGAAACTCGAAATTTTCTCCACGCCTTAAATAGATCGATATTAACCTTAGATACGAGGACATTTAGACCGGCATGCTTGTTGTCCCATCAGAATTCGTTAATGTTGTCATCTGCACCTAATGTTTTTCATTTTTCTGTATGTAATTGAGGTAAGAATCACCTTAAGAATCTCTTCTTAGCCATGCTGCTCCGCACAACAATTCATCCTGTCAATTAAAATTCAATATAACCAATTAAATTTACGTGAACAACTTGATAAGGTACTCACGATACAACAATAGAATTCACAACATAGTACAAGGATTAATGTAATGTACATAAAAGTAGAATGTTTGGCAAAATATAGTTGCCAGGTATCCATCAACATCGCAGTAAAATGGGCATACACCTTGCCTAATATTCAAGTTATGCCATAAGCCCCGCGATAACTATTTGTAAAATGAAAAACCCGAGTATAAGTTTGCGAAAGTATCTCAGCGTATGTAGGGTCAAATGATGGGAATGCAATGGACGCGACAACCAGAGCTGCTGCAGTCTCCCCTGTGGCATCAGAAGCCGTATTTGTGGCATCACCTGTGTAAACTATTCTAGCAGTGTCCATATCTTCTGGTCTCTCCAAGCAGTTACGGTCTAAAATTAGATCCCTTGACATTCCAAACAAATTTAAGGTCCAAGTCCAAATATAAAACTAGTGAGGAAAAAAGAAGTTCCAATACTTGCACGTAATGCACGATGTATAGTAGCTTGAGGGGAAAGAAGAAACTGTTTGTAAAAGTGACTTAAGGATAGGAGTGGCTGCTAACTTTTCTGCACAAATAAGAGGTATGCAAAGAGATAGAGAGAGTTCTTTTTAACCCAAGACATGTAAAAGTGCAGGAATATAACTTTTTTAGCTTTAATTTATTTATACTTTTTGCTCTGTTACACTTTCATATGTGGGATGGAAACTTGGGCTACCTTCTTTTTAAAGGCACATTATGCTGATACTCGTCTCTTATCTATCAAATGATGACTTCGTCTCAAAAAAATTATGGACTTATTCATCAAGTTAACTAGTTAGAGATGCGCAAAAGAATTGAAACTAAAAAGTAAATTTTGGTCAATTCTGATATGGAGTGGGAGCACAGCCTCTTCCGGCCCCTTCCGACCAATTCTCCCAAAATAGTAATTCTATGAAAAAAAACATCCCACACTCTTTCAGATGAATAAGATGCCAATGAAGCATCTGTAGAAGTCTAAGGATTGTTATGAAATGTTTCCGATATACGAGTGGTTTTTTTACATAAGAAAATGAACATGATGATAAGTACGTCCAACCTATTTAACCTATTTACTTGGAAGTAGATATGGGACCAATAGTTCTATTATAAAATAATCATTAGCTCTCAAGTTGGTTCGACCTGAACCACTGTCCCCTATAACTAGCCATAAGTCTTTCTACATAGTTTAGTTTCGACAATTGTATGTTTGGCGAAGCTTAAGAAAATTCACATATAAGTTAATAAATAATTTGTTTATTAGTTTATGTTCAGAATAATAATAATTTATCAAAAACCGCTGTTGCAACAGGAAAATGTTTGACAAGTGACAATTTTTCAGAGCAGATAGAAAAGTACAGTAGTAGTATCATTATCTAGCGCTTTTTCATTTGCCCTAGAAAAATATAAGGAACTTAGGGATGATCTTCGATGCTGAAACTCCAGTGCCACTGCCGGTACCATGCAAACTCCATTGATTTGCAGGTAAGGTCCACAGTACGACACTAAACAAGAGTGAATGTGAGATTCGCTATTTGTTATTGTCACGTTGGTTTTCACATTGATCTGGTTTGTCAGGTAAGGTCCACAGTACGACACTAAACAAGAGTGAATGTGTGATTCGCTATTTGTTATTGTCACGTTGGTTTTCACATTGATCTGGTTTGAAAACGGTTTCATCCTTTGTATTACTGTTCCATATGTGGACAAAAAAATTTGCCGGCTTAATTATAAAAAAAAAATCTGTAAACCGACTCAGTTACACTGTATTTTGCCACTTTCCACACTATACATGCAAATGCACTAAATGTAATTGCAATGACACGGTTTCTTCTCTTATTATATTTTGAGATTTCAAACAACAAATAAATTAGTCGGCTTTCAAGCTTCCAAATTGCTGGTAATATTGGTGCCAAATCAAAAAAATAGGCCAACTTCTATTGATAATGGTAGTGAGTGACTATCTGATATGATCGGCCTCATCAACTCACAAATCCAAGAGAAGAAGCTGGACAAAATCAGATATTTTGAGCCTCAAGGAAATTTTCGATTCTTTAGTTGGCAAGTTCAGACGAACAGCTCGTAGTGAGTTTCTGCTTCTTCTTTATTTATATATTTTTCTGGAGTCGGATTTGAAATTTGCAGAGGGCTAAATGGTATTTGATATTTGGTAAATTAGCAAATTCAATGGTTGTGTGATAATAAGAGTATTAACCATTCATGTTGGCTCTAGAAGGACGAAGAAAGAAAAAAAATTCTACACATCGTGCGCACGAAGAACCTCCGTGCTATCTCTGTGCTGCACGGAGATAGCACCTCCATGCGCACACAAAGACTCTCCGTGTGCGCACGGAGACAGCCGTGCTATCTCTGTGCTGCACGGAGATAGCACACGGAGGCACACGGAGATAGCCATGCTATCTCCCAGCACGGAGACTGGACTCAGCGCTATAGATACCTTTCAAAGTACTGATAAAGAGGAGTAGCCCTGGAAAACTATTTAAACGAGTAATATAGCATTGTATTTATTTAGTTTCTTAATCCTTGTTCAAAGTCAGACTACATGGTCTCGTTTAGGATGATGAAGTTAATATTATGATGTATTTTTTGTGATGAACAAAGTTCTTAAGCTGGGAAGAGAAGTGATGTTTTGAGCTCTCAAAAATTAATGAACTTGTTTCTCCCGATTCTCATTAGTATCTGTCAAGCTTGACTTGTACTGGTGTAAAGTCCATAATTTCTTTTCTGATTCTTTTGCTCCCAGAAACCCCATTCTATTATGCTACGTAGTACTTTCACTTACCAATTAGTATGAATATGCATCTTAGTATTCACTAACCAATTGAAGTTGATTTTTGTTCAATCTTGGATATCTTGTTGGTGTTTCTGAGAAACTATTTTGTTTATTTGCCTTTTTTGCCAAACAAAAAAAACTAGACAATGACGAGGGTAAGTCCAGAGTGTAAGGATCAAGAACAGGTAGTTTTTCCAGTGTCAGCCGATGTGAGCTTTGCGTCTAGTCAGTTTTCGAAATATAAATTAGGACCGAATAATGAGATCTTAGGCGAGGTGAAAGAGGATTTTAAGAGTCCATCCCTGAAGGAGGTGGTTGTTGAAGAAACGAACCAGCTAACAGAGTAGTAAAAGAGGCTTTCAGTTCGCGACATGTCAAGAAAATTTGACAAGAATTCATCTACTGCTCCAAAATTGTCTGAAGAGGTCTTAATGAATTTCTATTTGTCAATTTATATTGCTGTTGAAGTTCTAAAATCATATATACAAAAATCAATTCATTTAACCGCTAAACGTCGGTGTTTATATGGTCGTTTAATCTAGATAGTTACTAAATAGATAGGAACTCGGTTCTCTTTCCCCTATCATTTCATTTTTCGTTGGATGAGAATTGATGACTAGATGAATTGTTAAATTCTTTGTGAACTTTAGGCTAAACTGAGAGAGGTGCCTTCATTGGAGGGACATCTCCCGAAGAAACTTAAGGATGCATTGGAATGTTTGAAAGGACGACCGGAGGACGTAACAAAGAAGATGTGGAAAAAGCTATTTCTATGGTTGTATCTTGTTACAAACCAAAGTTTTTAAAGTGATTGTTTAAGTTTTTTAGTGCCAACTTTTCATTATAGAGGCTATTTGAATATCCTTTTCTACATTGAATATGTTTTACACGTACCTGTTGTGAATATTAATTGGGAAAACCCAAGAATACATTACATTTAACTTATTTCATTCTTTCGAACATAATGTAAATTGAAGAATAATTTCGCACTTTCTTCTACCTTGTTAGATATCCTTTGGCTCTTTGCAACTGCTTCAAAGCAAAGGTGCATGACAATTTTACTTTGAGTTTGGATTGTTCGGTCCTACAGGTCGAAGCTTTAGCGGTGAAGTTGACTAAAAAAAGGAGAGCTAATTGAAGAGAAGTTTGAGAGTACTGTTGTTCAAGTTGATGTTCTAAGGGTATGGGCTCAAATCCAATATTTTATTTGATCAGTTTTAGCCTTCCATTGGATCAATATGTATTGAGGTTGTCTCATGTAGTTTTTCAGGCCTTCAGTCCTCTGTTGAGTTGATACCTGTGAAATGTAAAGCCTTCAAATTATCGATCTTGTAATGGATTACATACTCATTTTGACCATATCAATTCTATTTGTTCCTTTATTTGCTATTGCAACAAAATTTCCTTAGTCTATTTTTATTATTTGTTCTTGTGAAATTTGCTGTCATCAATGCCTTTCTTTTTGATTCTGAAATAGTTTCAAGAAAAAGTTCCCCATTTTTCTCATCTTATATGTTTTATAGGAAGAAAAGAACTTCCTCACTAGATTCCTTTCTATCGAAAGATGTATTTGTAATGCCTTGTAAAGGAACACTTGGGGTTTGTGCCATGTACTTTCCTGTAAGTCGACAATCAGTATGGTTTACTCTCTTCAATTTGTACTTTAGTAGAAATTATAGAAAAAGGGTATAAATATTCTTTAGAATCTCTGGCGAAGCTGCTGTTGTCGGAAGAAATAGAGGGCTTTGATCTTTCGGTTGTCAATATAACATTGTGGGCATGTGGAGATTCACGGATGGAAAAAGAAAATCCTTGCCTGCCTGCCTTCCTTTGCATAGCAATGTGGGAAGATAAACGTAGTCGTGTACAAAGGATGTACCACAGGGCAAAAAACTCTACATATAATTTGTGTTGTGGCATCTGTATTTTTATGGTGATGGGAAGAAATTCTTATTTCAGATACAGTAGCATGATTACTATCATGGACTTTGATTTCTTCATACCGATAGGTCCATGTTCTGGCAAAGCTCGGGGTGTTATGTTATGTCTTTTTAAGTATTCAAAATTGCCTGAGTTTTTCATCGAACTCGCCAAATATGCATCTCACAATGGAGCTATTAATATGTTTACATGTACGATTTAAAGATTCTAGAAAATGCCATGGATTTGTGTTTTGGATTGATTGGGTGATGGACGCGGAGGATAACACTGTGTTATAGGATCAAGTTTGTGTTGTTCCAAGAAATCAGTGATACAATTATTGTCTCTCTTCGCTTCAACATGGTTAATTCTTATAGTATCTTTGGCTAAGCCTAAGAAAAAAAAATTGTATCCAATTTTAATCAATGAAAAAATGTTTATTTTAAATAATCTATTTATGCATAAGTAAACTTGTAACTGAACCTTTTATACTTAGCCAAACATTCTTTTTACCCTTTTGTTGTTCTTAAAGAAATTTAAATTTGTAAATTGTTCAAAGGTTTCTCAATATTTTAGAACACGGATACTGATACAGGAAGCAAACTGGGAAGCTTTTAAGTAACCCAGTTGAGGTTAGAGGTTATGATTGTTCGTTAATGGAAATCAAGACTTCATTTAATCCTTCAAGTGACAAACTCATTGTAACCCGTGGTTTCTCATGATTTGAAGATTTTTTTATTTGCTTTTGTCAAAGTCTCGACTTCTTTACACATTTCTTCTTGTTTTGTAATTTAATTTGAGCTCTTGCATGCTCGTCTAGTGCTTTAATTACCTTATAGTAGCCTTGTACACATAAGAGGAGTATAATTACTATTTTGTATTCACTTGTTAAAAGGAGAGAGTATATTTTCCATGTACAAATTGGATAGACCGACTAATTATCTGCAGTCTATTGTTGTTTACATCCTTTTAAGAACAATCTTATGTGAATGTTGATTCAGGTAATATTTTTGACTCGAGCTTTAGAATTTTCCTTTACTTGATGCAACCATGGCACTTTCCTATTGGATTTCACATCAATGTTTTCTTGATTTCTTCATGCTCTTCAAATGCTTCGTAGCTGTATTCTATGGGTAAATCATATAGAAATTTACATAATCAAATTTAGTTAATTTTGCTAACCTAAACGCACAAATCTCCCATAAATCCATAACGCTTGACACAAAACTGTTACCTTTTAAAAAAAACAGTACTGTTACCTTTTTAAAAAAAAGTACGTGCAATGCACAGGCATGAAACTAGTCTTAAGAAAAGAAGGGAAAAAAAGCTAAAACTTTCCACTCTACCATCCATTGATTTGTAGGTAAGGTCGACAGTATGACACTTGACAATATTAAGAAAATAAGGGGAAAAAACTAAAACTTTCCACACTACCATCCAGTGCTGCGTAGCAATCGTTGCCCATGAAAACTTTATACCAGACATTCCTTTGAAAGGTATATCCTAAAGATCTCTGACTAATGAAAACCTTTGTAAGTTAATCGACATCCTCTCATCATCACCCACACACTATCCAGGATATCACTACAGGCAGAATTACACAAATCATGCAACATTCAGGTCACCACATCACCACATATTGTCTATTAAGTATTCAATAACTAACGGGCTTAATTGAAAATAGTACAATCATAAAAGGTTATCAAGAACAAATTCAAGATTAGCCGAGTTCAAACCTTAAATCACTCAAAAAGATGAAAAAACAATCTCGCTTCAAATAACAGAACAGGTAAGAGATTAATGGAAAGTGGTTTGCCTAGCATGAGCCACAGATCTGTCATCCTTTAATACCTTCTGGGAAAGCGGTCCATGAACCTCCCAGATGGACACTCAAACGCCATGTGTCCTCTTCCCCCACAGTTGTGACATATAGCCATTGCAATACAATCGCGAACCATATGCCCTACTTGGTTGCAGTTCCGACACACAATGTCTCGGTATCCACCTCCACGAAATCCACCCCTCTCTTCAAGGATATTGCCCTTTGAGCACTCTCTAGCCACGTGGCCAGATATATTGCACAAATTGCAGACAGGATCATTCTGACAATCACGGGCGAGATGACCTGGTTTCCTACAATTCTTGCAGGCCTTGTCATTTGTACAATCAGCCGCCATATGGCCTTGCTTAAAGCAGTTATTGCAAAGCCTCAGATCACCAGGTGGCATTGGTGGAGCAGTGCAGTCCCTTGCACGGTGTCCTGCCTTACCACAAGTATGGCAGATTCCCTCATTAGGACAATTGCCAGCCATATGGCCAGGTTCTCGACAGTTCCAGCAAAGAGATTTCGTCGTGCATTCCGATGCAATATGCCTGATTTAATTTAAGAAGAAACAAAAGCACAGACAAAAAGGGAAACATTAATCCTTTCTGCACTTGGAGTACAGTGTGTAGGGAAACATAAAATCATTAAAAGGAAAAAAGAATAGCTACAATAGATTAACATAAGCTCAAAAGGATTACCCAGGAAGACCACAATTGTGACAGATGGCCACATTAGGGCATTCTCTGGCAAAATGACCAGGCCTTTTGCAGTTATTGCACAGAGTACTCTGACTGCAAAGAACATATTACTAAAACTGTTAATATCCCAGTATATCACAAGCATAAAGCAAATATTATTAGAATAAGTCAGATATCATAAGGCTGTAATGCAGAAAGTACAATATAGCAGCAAGTCAACAACAATATAATACTTTGAAAACAATGATAGCAAATTTCCAGACTTTTTCCCTTTTTAAATTTTCTTTTATTGTACAAGAGATGGGAGGAGAAACAGATCTAAGAATAACTAATGAAAGATTCAAACATGCAGAAGGCTATATCAAAACAGAACTATGAAGATTTATTCCAGATCCAAGCATGAACGTAAAAATATAACCTAAAGCGAGTAAGGCATCAGATCTGTTCCCATTTCAGACAGATCCCACACATCAATTATTTTCTTCTTCCCAACCAACATGTACAATTTCCAGGAAGTTACAAACACATGAACAAATTGAGACCAGATAACCTGAAACCCCGACGTGAGTCCCGTCTATATGGTGCATCACGGTAAGAATACCGTTCAGTACGCATCTTACGATCCATTGGGCTCCGGCTCCTGCTTCTGCTCCGACTTCTGCTTCTGCTCCTGCTCCGGTTGTCTAAGCTCATTTTCAAAACTACACCACTCCGTAAACCACCCACTACCTGGAAAAATATCACCAACACCACAGCTGCTGCCACCTCCCTGTCCACCACAACCACACCCAAAGCCACATCAGTGAGTCCACATTTTTATCCTTCATGATTTAAACACCAGATTCCCACACAACTATTACAGTTTTTCAACAAACACCACCACCGTGGTTATAGAATTGGACCCAGCACCTGCTGAATTCCCTAATTCAACAAAATACTATCTAACCACGCCCATAGCATTCAAGCATCTCATGTTATATACATCACATCTAACTAATAACAAACAACTTAAACAAACCCCTTTTCAGGACGTCATACAAATATATGAGAGTGATTCCATTACCCGCACACACACCCATGACAACAGTTAGAAGTTGTGAATAATTTGGACAAATAACATTCATTACAGGTGACAAATAAATATGAAACTGAAAGAAGAAAATGAACAAATTTTCCAATGCCAGGGAATCAACTGTGGTGGATCATGACTCACTACACCATTATATGAGTAAATTAAACAGCGTCTTCTGCCGCAGGTAGAGGTGCAAACTTTGAATAGGTAGCTCCTCTGTAGTATCATCAACATTTTCTACGGTTTATTGTGAAGGTACTCATATATACAAATTGAATCATTTCCATTTATGCATTCTTCCACCGCTATCACATCTAGAGATGGCAAAAAAAACCGCCCCGCCCCGACGGTGCCCCGCCCCCAGCGGGTTGGCGGGTCGGGGCGGGGCAAGGAGGGCAGCCCCGTCTCAGGTCGTGGGGCGGGGTGGAGATGCCCCGCCCCGAACTCGCTAAAAAAAAAATTATAAAAAAATAAACGGGGCAGGAAAACGCCCCGCCCCGCCCCATCTTAGACGGGGCGGGCCACGGGGCAGGGTGAAGCGGGGGTGTGGCGGGACGGGGCGGGATAGGAGTGCCCCGCCCCGAACCCGCCCCGTTGCCATCCCTAATCACATCGTATTATGCATGAAACAATATTTGGATATTCAATGAATGTTATCTTCATTATGGTTCACTAGAGCCAAAAGCTTCAGTCTTATACTTCAATGCGTAGGACATTACAAAATTCAGATCCAACACAATCTGAACTGAGTTGGGGGAAACATAAGGACTCCATGATTTAAAGGTTATCCACTTTATTTTCACATGAAATTTCAAGAAATTTTTCCAGAAGAAACTTGGATGAGAAATGACAGAAATAAGAGACACAAAAGCGGCAATTGTCTTATTACCCATCTATCGCTCCAACAACATTACTTGTCTCTCTTGAGGTGGTGAAACAAAAATCTCAAAACATGCCATTGACTATAAATATAATGTTTCCTGTATACCACATATATCCTGATAAAGTCACAGAAAGTTACAACTATAAACCAGATATTCTGAGTGTACAGCTCTTCTATTTGCATCTGGAAGAATGAACTTTAGCCCAATGATTTGTGTCATGTAAAACCGCAACGTCTCAATCTGAACATTTCACGTCATATTTCTATATGTTTAGCAGTTTCAAAAAAGCAAAATCAGGTATTAAGGTGTTTTACCTCCCCAGGAAGAGGCACGTATTTTTAACTCACTTTTAAGGCGTAAGCATGGAACTAAACTAGTAAACCAAAAACTATATAAAAATTTTATAATACAACATTTGAATAAAATTAATGTTGAACGCCTGTGAAGTTTAAATTGCATTGTCAAAGTAGCAAATAATAAATTAATAAGGTAGTGATCACGTAATAAAAGCACTAATTCACAAATGGTACTAAAAGTATAAAACAAATGAATCAATTAAAAAGCTATTTAAGAATTTAGCTTGCTATGACTTTAGAAGAAGTCGGAGAAAAAAAAATATATCAACACAAAGATGGCGAGCAAGTATCAAGAAAGACAGATTAAAAAGTCGTGTGTCGCATCCTGTCACTGAGAAGTTGAAACTTCACTAGGGAGGAGGTTAACCCACTTCAATTGTAGAAGGCTACGTCATAACTCCTTGCTTCTTCTCGTCTCTAATTTCCAATTTTTTTTCTAGATCTCATGGTTGGTCTGCGTTTAAAATAGCCCCAAGACCCCTTGAAATGTCCCAGGCTAAAAAAAATCCTAAAAGATGAGACTAATGACAAGAAGCACAAGGTAATGGAATGCACACTCGGATGCCTCAAGGCTTATGCCCCTCAATAAGTTAGGGTGCTATCCTCGACAAACAGAACTCAACACCTAAGCTTAGAGGTAGCATCACATCTCTGCCACAAGCGCATAACTTAATAATAGCAATTCAATACTGCATTATAGAAATAAATGTTGCAGATCAAAAAGGACCTTCTGGATGCTAAGAGACATAAATACAGAATAATACAAGTCGCAGAACAGATTCATCACACGTATAGTTAACCAAATTAACATCAAACGGGACTGCAATGATTAATGAGGAAGCAATTAATGAAATATGCAATAAAATAAGTAGACAATATTTTTTCGTTACGAAGAAAAATCAGGACACTGATACACGGAACTCAGATCCATAACTGTGTTATACATGCTAGTATCAAAAAGACAAAGCTCTATGGGAAAGAAATTTATGACAAAATTAGGTAATGAAATAAAACCCTAGCTCATAAAATCGCTAAATCACCCGAAATCAACTGACGAAACAAGACCGAATCATGAATTTTCACAGAATCAGAAACCCTAAGAATAAAACGTGTAACTCCACCCTAACCAGTAAATCTAGATTAATCGTAAAAATTGTTAGAAACGAGAGTTACCTCGAGAGACCGGTCGGATTGGATCCTGGGCACCGAAATGTTATGGAGAAAATACACAGAGATCGAGGTTCCGAAGGGTATTTGTGAAATGATGGTACCTTCTGGTTTTTTAGAGTAAATTCCTCTATGGTTCCCGCCCTTTATCGAGGTTCCGAAGGGTATATGTGTAATGATGGTACCTTCTGGTATTTTAGAGTAAATTCCTCTATGGTTCCCACCCTTTCAGAATTGTAACATATGTATCCTCAATCTTTCATTTGTATTATTCATGTCCCTAAACTTTTAATAGTATGCGAATAATGTCCCAACTCAAACTAATAGCTTGTTTGGGAGATATTTTTGAGGGAATAATTGATTTTGAATAATGATACTTTGTATTTCTTGATTCAATTGTCGTTGAAAAAGAAGAAAAAATGATTGATGTCATAGAAAATATTATTTTATTGAAGAATATGCGGTTGAAAATGAGAATTGATTTACTGTAGAAAAATCTAATCCCTCCTAAACAGGGCCTAAAAATTTAAATAGATAGTAAAAGGTCACGCATTAGGCATGTGATAGTTGACTTATGAGTATAATTATCCAAAAGTAATCCCATTTCATTCCAAAAACCAAATTAATTACTTTTTAACTAAAATGGTGCTTGGTGGAGATTAAAATTAGGTTTTTAGTAGATTGTGATAGAAATTTTTGAAATGTGTGGTTGGAAAGTTATAAGACACATGAAAGATATAGTTAATATTGATTGTTTGACTTTAACTTGAATTAAAATCAGATTTTAATTCGGACCAAACATGGGCTAACTATGTTCGATCACGACAAATTATTATTCAAGTTGGATAATTTTTTTTTTTTTTAACAATTATACTCATCAGTCATTTATTATGTGCTTGTGACGTGACATCTTACCATCTAATTAGACTTTTTTTTGTTCAATTGGAACATTGTACACAAAGTATTAAAAGTTAGGGACATGAATTGACATAAACGAAAGATTTGGGACATGAATGTCACAGTTAGAAAATATTGGGGGCCCTGGAGGAATTTACCCTATATTTATTAGTAGCGCGTTCGATGGCCTTTGGGCTTTCTTACTAGGCCCAAAAGTATTTTATTATTGCACAACTTTCTTGAACGAAAATTGACACAAATAGCTGCTGAGTGAGAAATTTGCTTGATAAATAGTACCTCAAAACTGTCAATTACGAATATAAATCGTAGTTTCCCACGCACATAAATAAAGAAACGGTAAAAACAAATTTTCAATTCACTTTACGAACAAATTGTCATAAAGTGCAGAACCGTCTTCTTCGATTATTTTTTACGACATTCTTCGTAAAGTGGTCATTCATTAAACTAACAACAAGATTTGTGTGTGAAACAAAGAAACGGTTCTTATTTCAAAATTTGAAAATGAAAATGAGAAAGACAAGATGTTTGTAAGATTTTGGGTTAATTGTTAAGCATAATGCTTTGTCAACCTCAGAAAAATAGCTTCTGTGTCTCACGTGAGAAAATTAATGTCTAGGCTAAAATATTTATGCCTTACCATTACATCATAAGTACTTCGTTGACACACATTTAATTGTAATATTTAATCCTTGTTTGGTGCAGATTAAAAAGTTGATAAAATTTTAAGTTAAAATCAATAATTAATTTTAATCATACATTTATGAATCACAAGCTTTTTCAAATTTTCAATAACACTAGGTACAAGTAACGTGCAATGCACGTTTGCCTAATTTATATTTAATAGTTTTGTTTAATAATTAATTTTTTATAAATAAAGATGAAATTTTTTTGGTTAATTAAATAATTAATGATGAAATGTTTATGTAATTGTTAAATAATTAGATGTGTGATTTTGATGTTGTGATATAAGTTGGTAAGATCGAAGAAAATAAGCAAAAGTTGACAAATTTGGAGAGTGCTAAATTGTAAGGGATCCAAAGTTCGGGAACTAAAATGTAAATACTTAAAAGTTGTGCCGAACCTCACAATGAAGATTTGAGACTGATCGGAGTCAATTGGATAAAGGAATACGTCAATGGAATCAAATTTAGTCAAAAGATGATCACAAATCAATTTCCAACCGAAAAGTTATGCTCCGATATTTTAGTCTCATATTGAGACCTATTTTTGGCATAAAAAGTGATTGAATTGAAAAATGATGTCTGAATCAAAGTTGTAGCCAGATGAGTTAGCTTTCCAACGCATTTTGAATCGCCTCAATCGGATATCGGAATACAAAGTTATGATAGAAACACTGAAAGAAGGTACAGTTGCCTGTTTAAAATAAGAAATTCCGTTACATAATCCGTTAAAATAACAAATTCCGTTAGTTTTTCCGTTAAAAATAAGAAATTCCGTTACATAGCCACTTTTAATATATAGAAGATATTTCTTTAACTTTTATTAAAATTTACTAAAAATCTGATTTTCAACTAAACCAAACGGGAGCTTAATATCCAACTTTTTAAAATTAAAAAATACCATAATTTATTGATCGCCTTGAGTTTGGGCTTGAGGCGAGGTAGATGAGGGTTTCAATTCCCTCGCCTCGCCTCGAGTTCGTCCCTGATGTAGTGGCTGTGGGTATTATCATGATTCTCCAGTGAACAAGGAGGGAAATCCCATGAGAAGTCTCAAAGAGGAGACAAACCATCCATTTGGATCGATGCTATAAATTAATCAAAGATTATGGATTCTGTTGCGGAAAATGTTGAAGAAGGAAGTGCGAAAATAGTGAAAGGTTGAAAACGTTTGCTGTAGTCACCCTAAATTTTACAATACAATCGATATAAATAACACAGAGTGATCATTGTATAAAGAATAATGTTTTCTGGCACCATTTGTGTTATTAACACTAGTTTGTGTAGTGTTATGGAGAGACTCAATGAAAAGTGAAATCAAGCGACTCAATTAATTATAATTTAATGTCATGTCAATGCCATTTAAATTGATGTTTAAGTACTAACGATAATAAATAACATTACTCTTGTATAAATATTCATTTTTGTAATTTTTACATACTCATAAAATAAAATATTTTTATTCATCAAACTCTTGATTTTGAAACATACAACAATTTTAAACTAAAATTTTACTAAATATTTAGTCCATGTTTGAGCTCAATTTTCTAAAAATTCATTTTTTTTTCCCAAATTCATTTTCAATCATACATTATCTCAATAAAATGATTTACACGTAAATTCAAAAGTTTCTCTAGTTTTTAATCAAGCATTCTTTAAAAAATCACTATAATAAAACTCAATTCCTCTAAAATTGAAGCTCAAACAAATGCTTAACTATTCTTCCACAACTTACTATTTCTTTTTCACATCTAAAGCTAATGGGAACAATAGATAACTACTACATCATAAGGACCACATTTCAAAACTAACAAACATCTTAAATATTTTCATAAATCAGGTGATAAATAATAATAATAATAATGTTAATAATAATAATAATAATAATAATAATAATAATAATAATAATAATATTATTATTATTATTATCATTATTATTATTGTTGTTGTTATAAATTTTAATTTAATCTACATATTCACTCCCACCCACCCCTATTCATCCCAACCCATCGTCTCCCTCTTCATTTCTCTTCACCCGGTTGAGCTATTATTCACACCCATTTACTGGGAGCCGCAACGTGCCATCGGAGCTTCTTTTCATCCATCGCCCAGAGTTACAGTGGTGATGACCCGCCATCGGGAGAGTTGTGCGCAGCGAAGCTTCTCTTCCTCGAAGCCGCAACGGATATGATCTAATTTTTGCGCATGGTCATCAATAATGATTGGTTTATGCGCACATCTAATCTACTTTTTGCGTACGATGATGATGGAGGTTGGTTTTTTCCAAACAGTGACTATGGAGAGGTTGTGGCAAGGTTGGTGAGAAGGTGGTGTTGGCAATGGTGGTAGTGGTCACTAACATCTAAGATTATCGGTGACCGTCTAATTTGTGGACTGTATGTAACCAAATCATTAACTCGTGTTCTGTGACTAAATTTGTCTTTAATGTGACTAGATCAATCTTAACTATGAAGGTATGTGACAATGGATCACAATTGACACGGAATTAATCACAACCAGATACAATAAACACATACTTAGTCATAGAGGGTCACTACAAATAGATCCGCACAAACCGCATACTGGTACCACAATCTTAACAGTGACAATATGTGATCAAATCAGAGTATATTACAATTACCATAGAAATGGTCACAACCAGTCACAAATAACACATACTGGATCATAGGGTCACCACAAACAAATCTACACACACCGAGACCGGCACCACAATCTTCCACCACCACCTTCAATAAATACCAACCACCACCAACGCCACCACAATCACAGCAGCATCCACCACATCCGACCATGGTATACCAGCAACTATCACCACAATCAAGTGATAACAAGATAAATGGCATGGTTGAAGGGCTTTCCTCCCCCCGACAGAACAAGACCCTGACACTAGTTTCAATTGCTCAATGCTACACGCAACGCGGCAAGCGACAACGCACACAATAGCGTTTGCTACAGCACGCAGCGATGGTGAATTTCCTACGGCCCCTGTCACATTCTGAGATCTATTTAGAGGGGCGAGTGGGGCGCTCGACGCTTGTATCGCGATGCCTGGGGCAATGGTGCATTGTTAGTAGAGAGAGGGTAAAGAGTGACAAGAGAGAGGAGGAAAGAGAAATGAATTGGGGAAGTGCCGAGGGATTGAAATTTGGGGGTGGAGTGGATGGTTTGTTATAATATTTGTATTAACTAATTTAATGAATCTGTATTAATACCTGATTAGTGAATTTTAAACTTCACTCCCTTTTTTTTGAATTGTATACTTGATGTAGGGTTTTGGGTTGTTTTTCTGAAGCTAATTCTCTTTGAAAGTGTCACGTGCCAAATATTCCTCGATGCCTGTCGACAAGGATAATTGCATGTGGACCCTCTAAAAAGGAACTTGAATCCATCTAGATCCATGTTTATAGGGGTTAGTTAATCTAGGTCCATGTTTACGGGGCTCAATAGAGTCCATTTAGCTCGAATCGTATCAAAAAGCAATACTTAACTCTGTTTAATACCTACTCTTCAAAATTTTATTTATTTTAATGTAATTTATTTATAATCATACATTTTTTTCAATAAATTAATTTTACACTTAAAATTTAATTTGTATTAAATTTTCAACAACACATTATACCGCTTTTATCAAAATTTACTAAAAAATTGATCTTTAACCAAATCAAACCAAACGGGAGCTTGTTTTGCAAACAATTTAAGCTAAACAAGATATGCTCTACATATTAAAAGAAATAAAAAAAGGTAACTTTTCAAATATTACTTGAAAGTTACCTCATTCTTATCTCAATAATTTAATTATTTTAACTTTAATTAATTAAAAACAACACTGTCTATAAGTAAGTCAGAGTGTATCTGGTAGAGATTAAAATCAGATTAAAATTAAAAAATTAACCCTTATTGTTGGCTTTTATTAAAATGGTGGACCCAACAATGACTATATTTTCAATTTTAATTTGATTTCAAGCTCTCTCAACCTTTCAATAAACTATTAAAAACTCAGCGAAACGTGTCTCCCCCCACATTTACATACCCCATAGCCAAACACCGGTGAAATCAGTCGTAATCTGATTTCCAGAATCAGCCAAATAGATTACGCAATTCTCTTACATAATATGCGTTATATTAGCTGTGTTTACATATACTTACAGAGAACCTAGGGTTAGGGTTTTGAATATAGAATTCTGATTCTGGATGGAGGATGAAGAGACTTTATCGCATGCCAATGAACCATTTAATTTTGAAATGAAACAGGAAACACTGGAAAATGAAGAGAATAAAAACACCGAGCAATCCGAGTCGTTTTCTGAATTGGATGACTCGAATTTAAGTGTAGGTGGAGAAAATGTCGATGCGGAGATGTCAGAGGAGAAGGCGGAGAAGCTGCCTGCGGTAGTGGAAGTTGGAGAAAAGTCTATTACGGAGAAATATGATGTAACGGGACCGGAATTGGAAGTGGATGCAGTGGAGCTTGATATTGGCGGTGGAGAAAACAGCGTATTCGAGAGAGTTGATACGATGGTGCTTACGGCTGAAGAGGCGGAGGCAGATGAGACTCAGGCGTTGGAGAGCGAAGTGGGAGGAATGAAAGGTGGCTGTGATAGCGGGGAGTCACTGCTTGCTTCGAAGGGTGAGGAGGAATTGGTGTCGGTGGTAGCAGGTGATGGAAGCAAGGTTAGTTCTGGCACATGGGATTTGAGACCTCATGCTCGGTCGGATATGGACGTGATCGGTGAAGCGCCAGTGGAAAGAGAGGGAATGGAAGCGAGGGGTCCCGAAGCCACAGCTGAGATAGAGGAGAGAGGCAAGGGACAGCACATTGAGAAAGAGGAAGGAACTGAGCTGGAGCCAGAGAGAACTCAAATTCTTGAAAATGATTCAGGGACAGTAGTGGAAGCTGGTGTAGGCAGCGAGAAGGTTACAGATAAGATAAATGATTCAGAAGGTGGGACTACTGAGAAACTGGTCGGAACTGTAGAAGAAACAAGTGATTCTAGGACCCAAATTGAGGTGGTGAATTGTAGTGAAGGAGAGCAGGTTCACGAATCCAATGGTGGTATGGGAAATTTTGGCACTGAAATGAAAGATAAGAGTGCTGCAGATGGGTCGGTTGCTGAGGAGAGTTTGATGGTCAGAACCATAACGGAGGAGAAGGATATCGGCGTTGAGGTTTCAAAAGGCCCCGAGTTATCTGAGCCTGCAAATGCAGCAGAAATTGAGGAGGTAGAAGCAGTGTCTGGAGAGGAGATTTCAGCAGGAGATACTAAAATGGAAACAGAGGCATGCATGGAAATAGAAATGACGAGGGATGACATGGTCCAGGAGATTCAAGTGGTTGATTTGCAAATGGAAGCTGAGGTGGTGGAAATGAATGATGGGATTGAGGCAATCCCACCTGAGGATTCACTAAGGGAGACAGGGAAAACAAAAAGTGATTGGGATGAGCCTGGTCAGGATTTGGATGATCCACTGGCTGCAATAAAATCTGAAGATGAAGCAATGACTGCAGAGGACACTGAAATGGAGACTGAAACAGATGTGGCTGAACTGGTGAAATCGTCTGAAGAGAAGCTGAAGAGGGGGAGGAATTCAAAAAGTCCATCAAGTTATCAGGCCACAGCAAAAGCTTCTGCTAGGAAGAAGGTGGGAGAGGACGTCTGTTTCATTTGCTTTGATGGTGGGGACCTAGTGCTATGTGATCGCCGGTAAGTTCTAAATAATGTGTTGAACGTTTAGAATTCTAACCTAAAAAGGAGATAAAACCAGTCTTCTGAATATATATTGTTGGCTATATGTGTTTGTGATGCTTATCAATAACTGAGTGTCTTTGGCTTTCCAGAGGTTGCCCCAAAGCTTATCATCCATCTTGTGTAAATCGAGATGTGGCCTTCTTCAACACTAAGGGTCGCTGGAACTGCGGTAGTTGCTTCTCTATATCTCCACTCACATGCACAATTTTTTGGAGATCAATAATTCATGTTTTTGATGAGTTCATTAAATGGAATATCTGGCTTGTTATGTAGTCAGCTTTGTTATTGGCCTCCGTGTGAATATTGTTGTCGAATCAGCAATAGGGACATATCTAGATTTTACTTGATATTGATGATTGCGATAGGGTGCAGTTGTCCCATGTCAGAATGTGCTTATCCATTTTTTCATTAGTGCATCTTGCCTCGTTGGATAGTGATGATCTTTCACACATTCATGGGTCTAGTTATTAGTTTTTCAACTTCTGAAGTCTTCGATATCTTGGCCAGATCGAAGTGGTTTGCTCCTGCTTTACTATAGCCCTTAAATGCCTAGATTAACTGAAAATTGCAGACTTTAGTGTTTTGAGAAATGTCAACCTCAAGCCTGTACTCTTAAGAAGCTTCTGCAACTGGATACTCTACTTCTACCCTGAAATTTTAAACAACTTGAAGGAAATTGATTTTGTTCTAAATGTGTAATACGCCCTAAGTTAACAAAAATTTAGTAAAATCAATTTTTTCATACGCTACTTTGGTACATGAGCTGTTTGCTTTCATCGTATAATGAACCACCGTACTCTTCTATTAGTCTTCGAAGTGCACCTGAGTTGTTATTTGTAGTTTTTGAGATGGGGAGCTCCTAATAAGTTTAAAAAAGTAACATTTAGATATCATCGTGCCATTGAACTCTGCCCAAATCATATCCAGTTACAGAATACTAGATAACTTTTCCACTTGTTTGCTGTATAGTAGTAGTTGGTTTTCTTTCTTAATTCTTGTTCGACTAAAATTATAATCTTATAATTTCAAGTCAAAGTCAAACTTTAATTTTATCCATAACAAAGACAACTCACTTGTTGTCCGCACATTTTGTGGGACCCACTACTCTTCATTACAATCTCATTATGATTTTATCCAAACAAGCACATAATATCATTACGTAGATTTTTTCCTACAATTATATGTATGGTCCAACGACGAGGTTGAAGGAATTGCTTAAGCCTTTAAGATTCTGTCTTCATGGTTCTTTTCCAATTTTTATTGTTGCTGAACCCCTCAGTTCTTCAGTTTCCTTTATCAAAATTTCATGGGGATTGAGGAATATTCAAGCCTATGTTGTTCTTTTAGGCTGCTAAAAAATGTGCTTTTTTATGTTTTCAGGTTGGCATATGTGCAGCATTTGTGAGAAGAATGCCCACTATATGTGTTATACATGCACATATTCCTCGTGCAAGGGTTGCATTAAAGACGCTGTCATCTTTTGTGTCCGAGGAAATAAAGGCTTTTGTGAGACCTGCATGAGAACTGTTATGCTAATTGAGAACAATCAACAGGAAAATGTATGTGCTTCCATGACCTATCTGCCTGTGTGTGTGGAATTAGTCTGGGGTTTGGCAATGTTTCAACTTTATCTTGCTGATGCTAGTATTGGCATTTGTCCCCATGATTCAAATGTTCAATATTACTACATGATTATTATTAATGTGCAGTTTTTGTCAATTTCTTTTGTTATGTTCTTGATATTTTTTCCTTTTGGATTGTCATCAGTAAGCTAAGCTATATCAAAAATGTTCTGAAGTGTTGGTATGATCTATTGATTGTTGACATCCATCTTTGGATGTTTAATGTGGGAACTGCAAATGGCAGTCAGATTGAAACTGGAATAACTCGAGATAAATTTGTTTTCTCTTAAGGTCATGAGCTGAAGGTCCAATGGGTTTGCAAGCTTCTGGACTAAAACAACAAGATCCTTAGCAAAAAGACTTCAAATCTGAAGACCTAATAGCCCAGAAATAATATATGTAAATAGAAAGTTCACGAAGTAGGTGATAACAATGAAAGATAGTAAAATAACCCATGGGCGAGTAAACTGAATCTCCTCATCACGTGTTAATTCTGTTGTAGGATTGAAGTCTTGAAGAGAAAAATTTAGTTGCAAAATGTAGATTGAGCTAAAAAACTTTCACATTTGTGCTGATTGGAATACTAAGATTTATCAATTTTGCTAGTGATCTCTGGTCAGGAAAGTCAATTTGTGGAAATCACAATTTGCTTGTTGTAGAACACCTTGGAAATTTTTTCTGCCCCAGTCTACTGTGCAAAAAGTGATAAGGAGCTTTAGTAACCACAGTCACCTTTGGATAAGAGGGTAAGACAAGTGGATAAATGAGCATGGACAAACTTGTCCACTCTGTTCTTCTTTTGGTCCTTTGTTCTCCCTCTTCTTACTAATTTCTTTTGCGTTCCCCTTGTTATGTGTCCACAAAATATAATAAGATAAAATTCCTAGTTAATCTCTCTATCTCTCTCCCTGTGCAATTATGCACACAAAAGCCATTTCATGGTTGCCATCATAGTTTGGATGTGACACTGACAAACCTACTCTTCTCGCTGTCAGAGTTTGTCCGTGAAGTTTTAAGGGGTCAGATCTCTACACATTGCATATGTTACTGATTTTCATATTTATTTCTCCCGTCTTTGCACTATTGTTCTTATGGATGTCTTTATGGCCTGTAATGCAGATGGATTTATTTATCTTCTGTATGAGGGGCCCTATGCTCAACTTTCTGAGACCATTTGAATAAAATTGTGGTTAATCATTCGTTTGTAGCTTGCACATCCTTCTGTGTTGGAAAAAATAGATCTTTACTTTTCTTTTACTTAAGCTGTTGCACCTCCTAGGACTAAGAATTGACAAAAATCTTACCATTTGACCAAAGCTTCTTACCATTATTTCCAGCCTTGATTTCTTCTTCTCGTCGTATGTGTTCCTAAAAACATAAATCTGAACTCCATTCATCTTCGAAGTATTTTCTCCTTCTTTTCTATTGGAGCTTCCCTCATTCCTTTTATCGAACATAATGATGCGAATAGGGCTTTAACGAGTTCTAATATGCAACGCCAAGCAGTTCTGCTTTCTCGGCCCGAGAAATGCATTGTTTTCTTTACCTGATTATAACTTAAATATGACCGGCTTTGAGAACTCTTATGTTAGCTGAACCCAGTTTTTTTTCCTGAAAAATGGAAATATTTGGTCGTCTAACATATTTCGGTTTCTATGAGATTATATAGACTAATTTTCTGCTGTGAAATTGAAAGAATTTCCTAATGAAATCTCCAGTCAGGAAAAAAAAATATTCATCAAATACCAGCCTTTTCTTAATTGCCATCTAATATCCCAATACACTTTAAAATGGAATGGTATAAACTAAGACTGATGTTACTTTTTATTGGTATCGTTTGGCTTTTCACTTTCTCTTATCCTATACTGCAGAAATTTCTGTGAAACTCTTGCTACTTTTAATTTATGGTTACTAGATGGTAACTTTACCTTCAACAACCAAGTTTCTTATCAGTTTCTCCCCACATTTGGTAATATACTTTTGGTAGCATTCTGATTGTGCTTTTGTGGTTCTTCTTTACCGAAGCAGGCTCAAATAGATTTTGATGACAAAAGTAACTGGGAGTATCTATTCAGGGATTACTATATAGATCTCAAATCGAAGCTATCCCTCTCTTCAGTTGAAGTTGCAGGGGCTAAGCATCCATGGAAGGGCAGTAAACAAGAATTGCCTGAGGAACAGATTGATGCTGATTATGATGGAGGATCTGCTTCAGATGACTTTATTGAGAGCCAGAAAACCAGTAAATCTAAGAGAAGAAAGCTTAAGAAACGATCAAAACCCGTCACCAAAGAAGTGGAATCCATTAGTGCAGGTGTGTCAGCCCGCAATGAGAACATTTCATCATCAGAGGACACTGAATGGGCTACAAAAGAGCTTCTCGAATTTGTTTCACATATGAGAAATGGTGACGTATCTGTGCTATCTCAGTTTGATGTACAAGCTCTTCTGCTTGAATATATCAAAAGAAACAAACTTCGTGATCCTCGCCGGAAAAGTCAAATTATCTGTGATTCAAGGCTTGGAAATCTATTTGGAAAACCGCGAGTTGGACATTTTGAAATGTTAAAACTTCTTGAATCTCATTTTCCTTTGAAAAAGGATAAGACGGAAGAAGTTCAAGGGAGTTTTGTTGGCACTGAAAGTAACCTGTTGGAGGTTGATGACAATGCCGACACCCAAGTCAGGGGGGTCAAAGGTAGGAAAAGCAAAACACTCAAGAAAGGTGACAGAAGGGGCCCTCAGTCAAATCTTGAGGATTATGCTGCCATTGACACGCACAACATGAGCTTAATTTACCTGCGTCGGAAGTTGATGGAGGACTTACTCGAAGATGTTGAGAAGTTTCATGATAAAGTTGTTGGAGCTTTGGTGAGAATAAGAATTTCTGGTAGTAGTCAAAAGCAAGACCTGTATAGACTAGTGCAAATTGTAGGTAATTACTTTGTAACCTCTTCATTACCTTAGACTCTTCTATTCTATAACTACTTATAAGTATCTGTGCTTTAAGTTCCTCTGGAATTTGTAATGTCAAAAATATAGTAAGTTTCTGCCTCAAACCCCCTCCCCTCCCCCCAAAGAACACCAAATAATTAATTTCCAAATTATTTTCTATGGCAGGCACAAGCAAAGCTGTGGAGCCATATAAAATTGGCAAAAAAAATTGTGATACGATGCTGGAGATATTAAATCTAGACAAGGCGGAGGTCATTTCAATTGATACTATCTCAAATCAAGAGTTCACTGAGGTGACTGAATTTAGCTTGTAGAACCTTCTTTTCCTTTTGAACATTGAAGTTCTAACACCCATTGAAAGGCACTTCTCTCCCCAAGCTTGCCCACACTTTCTGTCAAAGAAAATTTTCTGGATGCTTTATTTAAACAAAAAGAACCCCCTCATATGTCAGCTTTTGACCAAATGCACGTGCACTTTTTAGATGCTAGTTAGCTGTGGATAATTGTCAAAGCTTAGCTGGTCTCTAAGGGTTAGATATTATTCTAGCTTTCAGCTGTTTTACTTGAATGGCTTTGACAATGAACCGAACTATCAACTTCTCCTGAATTGCATATGCCACTGAAATGCATTNCCCCCCCCCCCCCCCCCCCCCAAATGAAAAAAAAAAATTTGGTTGAATATGTTTATTGTTAAGTTTAAAAAATAATACATTAGCTGTTAGTAATAAATTTAAAAATTAAGAATACTAAGTGTATGCTCTTGTAGATCTTTTTCTTATTTTTTTATTTGGAAACTGGAAAGAAAACTCTTGTTAGATTGCAGTTTTTAGGACATAGCTATTGGAAAGAAAATTCTTGTTAGATTGAAGTTTTTAGGACATAGCTACTGATATAATAAAAGTGAGATGTGCTTCATGAGGAACTTATTACATTGTTATTCCACTGGGAATGGATATTAACCTGGCAAGGAGGGAATTTGACGACAGGGTTGAGGCAATAGGAAAGAAATTGATCTGTAACTCAAAATATTTTAGGCTGATATTTATACAATTATTTATTTTGCTGCTGGTTGTTTATTATTTTCTTAGACTTTGGAGATTAAAGGGAAGTTCTTTGGTTTCTCTACATTTACTGGGTTGAAGTTATGCCCTCTATTGAATACCGGTTTATGTTACCCTAGAAAAATTTTCTGCTGACTTCTTTAGCATATTGATGGACTGATAAATATACAAGGTGTTCTATTCTGTCACACTGTACTTTTTTTTCTTTTTTGCTATGCAGTGGTTGGAATCAGAGGTTTCACGCCTTAACCATCTTTGTGATCGAGCTAGCGATTTAGGGCGCAGGAAGGAATATCCTTTTTACCCCCCTTGAGTTTATTTTATAGTTCTCTTGAACATCGTGTAAGGTTAAGGTCTATGTTACCTTGACCCGGTTATGGGTGTCCAATACATGTAAACATATTGGACTCAGATCCTTCTCTCTCTAAAATCTAGGATATGGGGATACATATATAAGGATCCAAAATTTAAACGTGGGTAAATCAACTTAGAATTACTTAGAAATTTATAATGATAAATTTGTATGCAATTTTTAGGGACGTATATATACTATAACTGTACATCTATAACAAGTTAAACTGTAAATTGTCGTACTTCATTTGAATCTCAATTCAAGTCTAGAAATGTGAAACACAAATTTCATTTTAAATATAATACCAAATAACAAAAATGATATAAAGGATCCTCTTTTGATTTAAATGAACCGAGAAGGATCGCATGCCCTTATCCTTGCCATGTGTCTTAGACAACACAATTCTTCCAAAATAGTGTTTGAGCAACATAGGTTAAGGTACAACTGCGTTTGTCAATTTATAGCTTATATTCTTAAATGATAGATATGAGTGCTTAGCTTGTCAGAAGTTTGAACATGTTTCTTGCAGTGAAATAGATATACATGGCAAAGAGAAACTATGTTCTCAATCGCTGTGTACAAGAGTCGTATATAATTCAAGTGGCGATCATCGTTGCATGTGGTTTTATCATCACCATTTATTTTGATCTTATAGGTTGTATGATTCTATTTTCTCGTCTATAGAAATGCAAGTTATCCTTGACTTGTTGTCAAGCTTAGAGAGTGTGTGGAAAAATTACAACTTTTGAAGACTCCTGAAGAACGCCATCGCAGACTAGAGGAAATTCCTGAAATACATGCAGATCCCAAAATGGATCCAAGTTATGAGTCTGACGAGGATGACAGTGAAGCTGACAACAGTAGACGAGGTTTCTTTCGTTTTCTTGTCTTTTCCAAATTGAAAAGTTTCTCTTTTGGTCCCTAACTTATTGTCTCAGTAGTAAGTTGGTCCTCTGCCTTTAAAAAGGGTTCGGTTGGTCCCCCAATCTCTTTATAGTTGCACATTCAATCCCTAGTGAGGCCGACCATTAAGATCTTTAAATCATCTTGTTGCCCTCTCTGCTTGTCCAACTTTGATTGGTGTCCATTAATTTGAAATGAGGCATGCTTCCATGGGGGTCAAGTGACAATACAATGGAGATTTGGAAGGCTTCCCTCATTGAGGACTAGTTGTGCAACAATAAGGTGAGGTTGGGGAAAATTTATTCCTTTTTGAAAGTTGGGGAGGAAGTTGCTAGTGGAATAACAGGTTGGAGACCAGTGGTGCAATTTTCCCTTCTTTTTTTCTAATTTGGTATTTACTGCTACATTTATGGAATCAAAATCCTGAGATTGTTTTATTGCACCCAGATTCTTTGATGATATCTAGAAGTTCTAGCTTTAACAGGAGAGGAAGAGGTCTTATCTCTCCAGGAAGTGATTATAATGCAAAAGATACTTGGAATGGCTCAGAAAATGTTTCAATTAAGAATTGGGAATCGAGCAGAAACCTCTCAAGCAAGAGTATGTATACTGATGCTGCTCATTCTGGTGAAATAGTAAATGAAAATGCACAGAACCAAGGAAGAGACACGAACGTTCAAGAATCTAAATCTGTTGCTTCACTCGTAACTTCAACAGTATCTCTCTCAGATGGTGTGGCAGAAACTGCAGTCAAGGTAATTGAAACTGAAAAGGTTTGGCATTACAAGGATCCTTCTGGAAAAGTGCAAGGACCATTTTCCATGGTGCAGTTGCATAAATGGAACAGCACAGGGTACTTCCCTGAGGATCTGAGAATCTGGAGAACCACATTAGAACAAGACCCTATACGTCTTATTGATGCATTGGCAGGGAAATATCAGAGAGAATCACGGGCAGTTGACAATAGATTTCCAGCAATTGATTCTATGCATAGTCTGGGTATCTCATCACATCATCCTGGTAAGATTTCTGGAACGTCCTTGCACCAAGATATACAAAGACCAAATACTGATCAAGACCCTAGGGCTCACCCAAAATATTCTACAGAAAATTTGGTTGGAAATGATTCTACAAACCTACCATCTCCTACTCCAAAACAAAAAAATGCAGGATGGACGGGAGAAGGCGGGGTTCTTCTCCATGGTGCTACTCAATATCCCAGTGGCAATGGATTGCTTAATTCACCTACTCCTGCCTTACCAAACACCATGACATACTCTTCTTCTGCTTCAGTTCTGAAGTCTCCTGTCCAATCTAGCGCTGGTTTTACTCCAACATCGAACTCTGAAAAAGGTACTCTTGCAGGATATGTAGATGCTCTACAAATTCAGTCAAATGTGATTAGTGAACCACATGCTGTACAGATGCATGGCCATCTGCCCACTATCGTCCAGTCAGGTGCTATTAGTCTGAACCCTTATGTTGACACTCATGGTTTGGGCAGTGTTCCACAGTCTGGACAAGGCCAGGCCCAAGGTTGGGGTGGCATTAAGTTGGATGTTCAGAACTCTGTCGGAAATTTCTCAAACTCAAGTATTGCAGCTATGCCTCAACCTGGTTTCTGGAGACCATCTACACAGAGCAGTCTACCCAACATGCTGCCCCGCAGTACACAAAACATACCATGGGGCATGAGACCTGAAAATCCAAACACAGGGTGGGGTAATGTGCGGGCAAATCCAAACACGGGGTGGGCAACACCCACACCGGGAAGTACTAATGTAAATGTGGGACTGGCTGTTCAAGCACCTGCTCTAGGAAATACTTCTGGTTTGGTTGGTCCTTCAGGAAATCCCGGAACTACTGTTGAAGGGCCGGTTCCTGGAAATGTGAATTCTGGTTGGGTTGCAACTCCAAGTTGGGGGGGTGCTCCAGTTCAAGGGCCAGTACCAGTACCTGAGAATGGGTGGGGAGCACCTAGTGGAAGTTCAGGATTTACCATTCAAGGACTCGTACAAGCAAACCTGAATCAAGGTTTTGTTGCTCCAGCTGGGAGCCAAGGTACGTGGGGAGGTGAACAAAACCATAATGGAGGTCAATTCTCCAGTCAAAGGGAAACGAGAGATTCTGGTTTTGGTGGCGGAAGGACTACTTGGAACAGAGAGTCATCATTTGGCAGTGGAGGTTCTAGACCTTTCAATAGGCGGGTTGCAGTTTGTCCATACAATGCAAACGGGAGATGTAAGAAGGGGGTGCATTGTGATTATCTACACACCTAAATAGGAAATTTATAGCCGTCGTTCATAAAAGATTTTGTACAGTTATTTAATTTTAGTGTTTTTACTTTTTACTATAGCCACATACCATCTAGTTGTTTCATAAATATGAAAATCCTTTTGCAGTTTAGTTGCACAAGTTTCTTTAGTTGATGCATATTTACTCGTGTAACATATCAATCTTCAGTTTCTATGATCCCTGCTCGACCTGTCCGATCTTTTTTGCTTCAGTGGAACACAAGTTTCTTGTGCCTTGATAGAAGTTTGGGATCTTGGAATATGCTACAAGAGTATTCCTGGGTTGCCGTGTTCTTGTTGGAATGCAGTCTCTGAAGAATTAAAGCCTAGAGTCAAGAGGGGACAGTTCATGTTTATACTTTTTAAGGATCATCAAGTTGCTTCATTCCTTAAATGTGTGGGGTGGCGCTGTGTTTTTGGAATGCCGAAAACAAGTTTGATGCTTGCATTGTGTATGCTAGCCTAGGTTATACAGCAGGCATAATCAACTTACAAATTCCTTTTTTGTATTATTTTTATAAGTAATAGAATTACTGTTCCCTATAAACCTACAGAATTATGATATTATCCTTGTGTTCTAGCAATTTGAGCTGTTTGGTTAAATTAACCCGTTTGAGCCCAATTTTTAAGTATAGATTTTGTAAAAAGGGATTTTTATTTTTTTCCAGAAAAGACCAAATTCAATTTCGGAATAGGGACCATTTCTGTTCAAGAACTAAAAATTATTCGTGAACGGATTGGAACCTTCGGTTTTGATTCGGAAGATTCAGTCTCAGTTAAAATGCTCACCCCTTATTCTATCTATAGTCGTGACCAAAACTAACATTCGTACCACATAGCGAAGTAATGTATGACCTCTAGTGCTTTCTAATGTTAAGTCAAACCATTTTTAAGAACAAATAAAATAAGTGAATAATGAATTTATCACTGTCTTACTTGAGTTTAATTTATCACAAAAATTAATGTACGGCGTTACCACAATTTTGTGCAAAAATTATATCTCATTTGGGAGGTACAATCTGCGCTATATCACCTTATAATTAAGCTCTGAATTCACCTCAAATTTACCCACTATCCAGTCACACTTATACATAAAAAAAATTATTTATTTAGTGGCAAATCGGCTACGAATCAAACATTCCAACCACTGTAAACTATCTTAGATCCAGTAGTGAAGGATATGGTCAAGCTCCCATTTGTCAAAATTAAATGTCGAACAAAATAATGGATTAATTGAAATAATAATATAAGTAAAGTGATCAAATTAATATAAATCTAAGTTTAATGACCGACATGAATAAACTGGTAAGTGGAGTGACCTTCAATGAAATTTCCCAATTTTCCGTTCAAAGAACAAAAAGGACCCTGAATTCGAAATCGCAGACCAAATCAAATCAATTCAAAGAACGAGCTGTCGATCTTCAATCAAATTTCCATCTCTCTTCTTCTGCATCTATATCATTGAAATCGATATACAATTCTGTGTGTGTATACAAACAATTCAAATTCAAACTCCATCGATCGGTTCATGAATGGAAGCAATTAGAAAACAAGCCTCTAGACTCAGAGAACAGGTCGCTCGTCAACAGCAGGTGCTCTTTCTCTCTATATATATAGATGCACACTGATTTTTTCCTTATTCGTGTAGGTTTTGAAACTCAATCGGAGATCTGAGTGAATTATCTACTATTTGATAACATTTCCTTGAAATTTGTGGTTATGTTTGTGATATTCAGATTTATCTAGCATTATATCGATTTACCAATGTTTATGATCTCTCCGATTTAGGTTTCGTAATGGTCTTCTTAATTGTGTTCATTTAGATGGAATTGAGTTTTTGGTGGCTTGAGGTACTATATACGGTAATTAATTTATCTAGCTTATGCAGTTGGGTGTTCAACTCTGACACTCTTTTATTTGATTGGGTAGAAAATTAAATGCTGTGATTAAGTCCTATCCTTGAAAATAATTCAAGGATGTGCGTTCAATATGCCCTGGGTTTATTTTGATTTGCGGCTCAGGTTTTCTTTATTAACTAACTATGCCAATCTTGTAGGATAGGTACAACTTTAATTTACTGCTCTGAGCTCCACACAATGTAGTTTTTGCCTTACAATTATTTCACTTTTGTTACTTTTGCTTTCTATCGCAAGTGTTTAGTGTTTGAAAAAGTAGCATGATGTTGAGATTTGTTGCAGGCTGTCCTGAAGCAGTTTGGGGCAGGGGGATATGGAGGTCCAGACAATGTTTTGAATAATGATGGCGAGTTCCAGCAGCATCAGAAACTTGAGAAGCTTTACATATCCACTCGTGCTGCCAAGGTCACTTTTACATTGTTAAATTTTTGCACAGTCTTTCTTCAATTTTGAATTTTTTTTGTCAGGCCTCTACAAGCTAGATCTGCAACAGAATTATTATATGCCCTGATCTATACACAAAAGTTTGCAAAATTCCATTTGCTGCCACGTATACATGCTCAACTTTCATTTGGTGAATTTTATGCATGTGTGTGACCAAGTGCATGCCGGTGCACAGATTCACTTACTTATTAAATTTAGCTGCATGGACTCCATGGCCTCTGTGAATACCATCGGTAGCCTCAGTTTAATAGTGTTGATAGCAAAATTTAGTAGTCTTATTAAAAATTTGTCTTTTATTTCTGTTTTTCAGCATTTCCAAAGGGACATTGTTCGTGGCGTTGAAGGTTATATAGTTACTGGGTCCAAACAAGTTGAGATAGGTGATTAACTAAAACTGAAGGGAATTTTATCCTTTATACTTAAGTTTTGTAGTGCAAGATATTGGTGTTCATATCCTTTATATGTTCACTTCAACTCAGGGACTAAGTTATCAGAAGATAGCAGGAAATATGGTGTTGAGAATACATGTACTAGTGGTAATACCTTATCAAAAGCCGCGACCAGTTTTGCTCGAGCTCGTGCTCAAATGGAGAAGGAACATGGAAATCTTTTAAAAGCCTTTGGCACACAGGTTTTATTTGGGGCATTTCCTCTTTAACTTATTGTGATTGATATTAATTTTAGGCTTGATAACCAGGCACTTGTACATCTGTCCTTTCTGATGTAAATGTGGGGTAGGACTTCTGCAGAAACAACACGTGACTGCCTGTGTTAGCCCATCACAGTATTCAAGTTCGCTCTGAATCTCATCAGGCTTATTTTCATAGATTGTGCATGCCAAATATATTTTCCATACTTCTTACATACATATTTTTTTCTTCATCTACAAATCATGGCTCACTGTAACATGGTTATCACTGGTTACACATATTTTTGACCCGCTACTGCTAGCTAACTTGCTTAACTTGCACCTAACACTGTTATTTTACAAGAAAGGAACGTGGGGTGTTGGTTGTCTTTGTTTATGAGATGTGTTTCAGCAAAAAGTTGAATGGAGGATCAGACTTTGTTGAGTAACTGGATTTTTGCTATTCCCTGCCAATTATTTGCATCATCATGGATTTTTACTTTAGCCTTTATGCTTCATGTTGTGGTTCTTTTAAAATTTATGTTTTGTTAGGTAAAGTTCCGATTTCTCATTCATTAGGTTGCAGAACCATTAAGAGCAATGGTAATGGGAGCTCCTTTAGAAGATGCTCGTCATCTTGCTCAACGATATGATAGAATGCGACAAGAGGCTGAAGCTCAGGTACTTACAAATAATTATTTCTGTCTTCATGCACGTTTTTCCCTAAAAGTTTACGGTGGCTAATTGCAAATTTTATGTTTCCAATTTTCTCTAAGGGTCCGTTTGATTGTAATGATGGAATTTGGGTGGAAAGAAAATGAATTCCAGGGAATTAAATTGCCTAGAATTCATTTTACTGAAAATTGTCAATTAATTGTGTTTGATTCTGGAAAATGTTGAAATTTTGGATCTTTTGATGTTCGTTTGGCTTTGTTTTCCATGAAAATTGTCCATTAAAAGGAAAAAAATTTACAATTAAGGATAGAATTTGTTTCCATTGCGAAAAATTTAAAAATATATATATTAAAAAAAAGATGTCTAGAAAACCAATTCCCGCCAAAAGAAAATGAATTCCCACCAAAACCAAGAATTGTGCACGTGTGGGGCTGTGGGTGGAAAATTAATTGCCAAGAAATGAATTCCAATCAAACATGCCATTTGAGTGGAAATGGAATTTCCATGGAATTTTTGTTGAATCAAATAGGGTCTAACTGTTGGTCTCCTTCACAAGGCATCATGTGATGGGTCACCTTTACTCAGCTTGGAAAAGGGGCACCATGCTTCAAGCAGCATTCTGTCCTAGTCCACCCCTGCTGAACTCACTGTTGCATCAGAGTCACTTTCAGCTGCAATTATGTGAATAAATGCAAAAAAAGATACATTACCTAAGCATTGTTGGAAGCAAAGGAAAATTCATTTCCTTCATGGTAGCCCATGTTTGAGCCCCATTCTTTAAAACTCATTTTCAACCACACATTCTTCAATAAAATAATTTTGCATGTATATTCAAATCTTTGCACTACTTTTTAACCACACATTCTCTAAAAAAATCACTTTTTACAAAATTTATTCTAAAAAAATAGGGCTCAAACAGGTGCTATAAAGCTATACAATGGGAGAGCGTGCGGTGAGGGAGATTGATGGAAGCTTAAGGTCGATTGGTTTCAAGGAGTAAGTTGTGAAACGGTTGGCAAATGCCCTAGTTCGACTCAGGTCTCGCTATCGCTTTATGGTGGCACCATGCAAAGGTTAGAATGAGAGTGCCCCTTGCTCCTTAGCCCTTTACGGGACTCCCCTACGTACCAGCACGTTGTCAAGTTGTTTCTCTAGTTGCTTAATATATTTCTATCTAAATACCGTAATCAATATTGTTTTAAACTGTTTATTGGATCTAGGTCTGGGCATCGGGTGGGTCTGTCCGGGTATTTCAATACCCGGAACCACCTATTAGATGTCGGGTATTTCGTAAATGAAACCATTTGGGTCATTGGAATTATGGAACCAAACCCAAACGCGAAACCTTGGTTCGGGTTTGGTTCTACCCATAATATTTATATACATTGGATAAAAAATTTCATATTAGACCATTTCGTTATGTATACCTAACACGCTACTACTAGATAATATTTGTGTAAGGGAGAAAATTTAACTAAGAAATTTTCAAGAAGCTAATAAGGAATCTAGTTACATGACAAAAAATAGAGGAGACTAAAAACTACGAAAAAATGAGAAAATTAAAACATCAAAAATTGAAATTTTCTTAATAAATCTCATTCGATCCATAAATGAGGCATGCTAGAGCCTATAATTTAATTATGGATAATGCTTAAATTCTTTTACTTTAAAAACAAACAGATATAAAAAATACTAACTTGATACATAAATATATAGTATCAAGAAATTGCAATCCACATATTGAGCTTGCTTTGTTTGAATTAAAAAAAAAAATTATATTTTAAAAAAGAACCACGAATTCGAGATAACAAAAAAGTACACCACAACCCAATCTATGAATATATCAAGTTTAATTGCCACGCATTATAAAAAAATTACTTAAATTTATAAATAATGCAATAACAAAAAACTCAAATTGCAAAGAATGAACGCTTTGATTCATCGATTTACACCACTACATAGCTTGAAATTTTTGATTCATAGAAAGCCAAGATTAACATATAGTAACATCTGAAATACAAAAATTTGATGTGAGGCGATAGGCAAAAAAGTAGGAGCCAATGATGATTTCTTAGGGTTAAAGTCTAGAGTTTTAGATAAATTCCTACCCAAATTAGAGTTTTTAGATTTTGTATTGTTTTTATCCAGCTTGTAAATTGTAAAATTATATAAAATATCGATTCTGTTCACCCATAGTTTTGGTTCAAGAACCAAGAACCGACCTGAACCTTGTCGATTCTTGGTTCCGGTTCCTTTTTTTTTTTTTGGAACCGGACCAGAACCTCCGGTTCGGGAGGTTCGGTTTCGGTTAAAATGCCTAGGCCTAATTGGAACATCATAAACTGCAGTTTGCAAGTTATTAATGTTATATTTTTCGAACTTGATAGGCTGTTGAACTTTCCCGAAGGCAAGCAAAACTAAGAGAAGGAACTGGCACCCCTGAAATGGCTTTGAAACTAGAAGCTTCTGAATCTAAATTGCAAGATCTGAAGTCCAATGTGGCTACACTAGGGAAAGAAGCTGCAGCAGCTATGGCTGCTGTAGAAGCTCAACAACAGAGGTTAACACTGCAACGATTAATAGCCATGGTAATGCAATTTTGCCTTTCGCATGTATCTGGACTAAATGTTCCACTGACTGCACTAGAAAATCAGCCTTAAACTTTTCTGTTTCTTTCTTCTTCACATTTTAGGTTGAAGCAGAACGTGCTTACCATCAGCGAGTTCTTCAAATACTTGATCAGTTAGGAGGCGAGGTATGCATAACTTCTTTCTTGTCATGAAGGAGTAAAAAGCTATTCGAGCTGCTCATTTTGAAGCTTCAGAAATCCTAAAGATAAAGTATTATTTCTTTTTTCAAATTTAGATGATGTCAGAGCGCCAACGAATTGAAGCAGCTCCTGCTCCAAGCATGGACAGTATGCCTCAACCTCCATCCTATGAAGAAGTAGATGACATCTCTACTACACCAGTGCAAAATGGGTCTTCCGATGGCATGGGTTACTTTCTTGGCGAAGTGAGTAGATAATTGTGTGTCTTAATAAATAATGGTGGCACATTTGGTGATGGCTGTTTATTTTTTTTCAATTTCGTGGATTCCATAACAGGTCATGTACACATATCAAGCTGAATCTGACGTGGAGCTTAATTTATCAATTGGCGATTATGTAGTTGTTCGTAAGGTTTGCTACCGTTGCTTGAATAACTTACTTGTCAATTAGCCTTCTGATAGTTTTTCCAATACAATTTTTATTAATCGTACATTATACACTTAGCAGGTCCTCGATCACATTTTTCTTGCCTGCACCCAACTAACAAAATGAAATTGCAGCTGTTAGTGGGCAATAGACATCCAAATCCCTACTGTAGATTATTTTATAATGTCCCACGTGCTTCAATTTAGTTTAATACTCACATCCATGGTAGACACACTGAGTGATTATCCTCTCGGCTGTATGGGTGCATGCATGTACAGAAACACAAAAAGAAGTTCTTGATATTAATGGTTGAATATTCACTTATGTGCGTATATTCTTATTTATTCCCTTATCCATTCTAGTATTGTCACATATCGGCCAAGCCAAGAAATATTGAAATCACTGTCAATGCCTTGGACATCTTTATTTTCACTAGTCATCTCATGGACATTTTATCATTTAAGAACTCCACACCCAAGACAATATAGTATAGCAGGTCTAATAACTGTTTTGCATAGTTGATCCTTCTATCAAACAGAATTCCTGGTGCACTTGTACTATCTATAGCTAATAATGATTTATGTTCTGCTCCCTTGAACAGGTTTCAAACAATGGCTGGGCTGAAGGTGAATGCAAAGGAAAAGCCGGTTGGTTTCCATTTGGATACATCGAAAGACGGGAGCGTGTTCTTGCAAGCAAGGTAGCCGAAGTTTTCTAAACTGTTGTGCTAGTCTGAGTTTTAACGAGTTTTGTTGCAGTTGTGTATCCCATGATATATACATATACTCATTGTTGTCTAGTACATGAAGAAAAGACCACTTGTCTGCACCCAATGTGTTATCATATGAATAACCATCTACAGTTTGTTCTTAACAGTTGATGTATTGCCTGTTGTCATGTTTTTGTTCAATTTTGGGTAAAGGTTTTATTTTATGTGGAGAGAGTAGAGATCATGTTCATTTGTTGTGTTGAAACTGCTATTCTGAACTGTTTACTTGCGAACATACGTAACCTCATAACAATAGCACCTCGGGAGTGGTTATTTCCATACCCTCTCGACTCTTGGTACTTAATTACTTATCTTTCCGCGGAGACTATTATGGTTGCAAGAATGGCTTTTAAGATGCTTTTGTTGGCACCACATGCAGTTTAAAAAGTCACTTTAGCACCGGTTAAGCTCTATAAAAAGTCTCTCTCTCTCTCACGCCTACAATATGGCTCTCCCGAACCTCTTTTGAGTACTCAAAAAAAAAAGATGCTAGGTAAGTTCAAATAACTTGTACGACTGCTGATACCGGCGAGCTCAATTAAAATAGTTACAAGTCAAAATATCAAATAATCAAAAATGATATTTTGTATTTATTTATGTTTCATCCAAATTATGCTCGAATTATTAAACTTATATTGAGTAACCAATATATTATATTAGTTTCAAAGGTACAGCTTGGATCTAGGTCAAAATCAATCTTGACCTTGTAACCTTACTATCAGGGGCGGACGCAGAACTTTAACGTTGGGGGGTACAATCGAACTTGAAAAGAAATTGGTAGAATTTTTACAATCGAAAATTTAAGTCCAAAAAAATCATACTCCATGTAATTTTACATCTAAAAATTTACATGAGATATGACTTTTTCGAATGTAAAATTTCGAAATTTTTTGAAAATTTCCAAGTAAAATGATGAAAATTATATTGAGAAATTTGTATCGCAAAAATAATAAATGTTAATGAAATAATTGATTTTTTGTTTAAAAAAATGCGAGTTACACGTCTTTTTAAAGGTTCACGTTTAACGTATTTTTAACTGTTTTCGATATATGTTTGAACTATTCGATATGTCCATAATGTAATTCTTGAAATAAGTTTCGAAATGATACAAATAATTTGTAGATTCGATTAGCGTACGATCGTCGGAGAATTTTTAAAATTTGTATATTTCGAAATTCAAATTTATTTTTATTTTACTCTTGTTTGGCGGAAATTAAATCAAATTTTTAGTAAATTTGGGTACAAATTAAATAGTTATAAATTTCATGAAAATATGTTATTAAAATTAATTGTTAACTTTGATTTAGATTAAAATTTAAATTTCAATTGATAACAAACGTGATTTAAAAAAAAAAATCTCAAAAGTTGGGGGCACCTGCCCCCCAGGACCCCCCTTGGGTCCGCCCATGCTTACTATATCAACAATAGGAATGTAAACGAGCTGAAAGTCAAGTCTCAATCAAAGTTCGAGCAAAAAACGGTTTGAGCTTTTTTAGCTCGAGCCAAGCCAAAGCTCAGCCGAAAAATCAAGGCTCGACTTGAGCTTTTGACTTAGGCCTTGCTGAACCGCCCGAGCCAACTTTTTTTTTTTCCATGAAATTTGAAAGTTTTTTTTTAAGTCAAATATTTTCTTTTAAAAGCTGCTTGCATGCAGCATTATAAGCTGCCTACACGGTGCATAATGCAGGCAACTGTAGTTGCTTGCTTGCAGTTGCCTGCTTGCACGCAACAAGTTACCTGCATAGTGCATAATGCAGGCAGCTGTGTGCAAGCAAGCTCAAGCCCACCGAGCCTCGAACTGAGCCGACTTGAGCTTGTTTCGAGTCAAACCACTGGTCGCCCAAGCCAGTGACCCTAGTCGACATACCTAATCAACAATAAAATTCTACAAAAGGGTATATTTTCCAAACAAACTTGAAATTTTAGCATAAAAAGAGAAGTTTGATTTTAAACAAAAATGCTTGCATCTTAAATTTTACGGTAGACTTGGGGGGCCTTTTTAACTAGGCTCTTGAAAAGTCAAAAACTGCTTCTAAAACTTAGAAGTCGCTTTATAATACATTTTGATATAATTTTTTAAAGTATTTTATTTGACTAGAAGAGTTTTTAAAGGAAGTTGATCTAAAATAATATTCTCATGAAATTCTGTTACAAGCAACTGAATCAAAAGACCTGTCAAACGGACCCTCAAAACACTATAAATTGATATATGGAACGTTTGATTATAATTTTGATAAACTGAGTACAAGCATAGATGAAAGGATACAAGATACGCTTCATTTAGCTTTAGCTTTACAACATTACCAATCGCACACTCGAAAACTTGGCTTCTCTCTCTACGTTATTCGCATAATACGAGAAAATAGGACTTTGTACATTGAGTTGGATGATTTTGCTTTTATAACCAGACAACGATTGAGTCGATGCTTTTTTCCCATGAAAGTAGAAACCAATCCTGCGGGTAAGAATATAGCATATCAGCAAGGATAGAAAATTATTTCCTTGTAGCAATTATTCGATGTTTTGCAGAAACTTACACATATTATATGTACGAGTTGCAGTCAAGTAAGCGAGAAGAATAGCGAGTATGATGAAGATGATAACAATCTGCAGTGAAATTAGAATGGTAAAAAAATATCACTAAAAAGAAGTCAGGTTGAAGAAAAACCAAAGAGAGAGAAGGTCGTGAACACTCACTGAAGTAGCATTGTATCTAGTCTTGGTCCTAATTATGCAAGATTTTCTGGTGGAACCCAAAAACGTTAGCAAAACATTGAAAAAATTGCCTGTAGAGGATAACTGAAAAACGTATTAAAAAAAATAATAATAATAACAACAACTACCTTTCGTTTAAGGTTCCAGAGTCTCTGCATGTTTTTAAGATTGCTTCTAGCCGGTCCTCTGTTTTTCTAGCATTAGGATCATTGTCGTCAACCTACAAAAATGAGCACATAGTAACTAAAATTTGAATATTCCATTCCATACCCGGAAAAGTCTTATGGAGATGGAAACAATAAAACTAAGAACTAAATTTTGAATTTGCATGCTAAGTGAAGTCATCGGAACAAGGAACAAAATATTTTCCGCTTTCAGTTGTAGGCGTAGGTGCCAAAAAAAAATTATTTAGAATAGGAATGGGAATTTCACAGGTTTGGCATAATTTTGTGCATAAAATCTCGTCTCCTAGATGCAAACAAAGATTCCAACTTTTAGAAGAGGTCTTCAATAAATCATATACAAAATTCTGCAATTTGTGAAACTTAGTAATGAATTGTTGGAGAATCATTGTATCTAATTGAATTCATAGCACTTAAATGTTGGCATATTGATCAGAAAGTTCCGCACATGCTTTATTCATTTTGATATATTAAAAGGCTCAACATCCAATGCTTGAAGGAAGTTTTGCAAAGAGATCACAGATGCAATCAAGAAAATGATAATGGGAGAGATACTTTCTTACATGTTTGGCTAAAAGCCTAAAAGTTAAAACTTATTTTTAAATAACATTTTTGTTTCCAAACACACTTGGATAAGTTACATTTTTGTTATTTATAAGCAAAAAAAGTTACTCATTTTAAAGTTTACTCAAGTAAGCATTTATTCATATAGATGGTGATTATGCTAAACATGGATTTTACGACCTATTATGTGACCATATTCACAACAATCTACAGTGGGAATGCGCACACATCTATGCAAATTAAAGATGGTAACACGACACCTCTGCATATGTCTATATTAAAATGGAGTCCATTCCTACAAGAACACAGGTTCGCTTGGTCTACAATAGAAGCATCATACCTTGGATTTCAGCATTCGACAGAAGTCGTAAAAAGCTCCATATACATCTGACATTGTTTTGGTTTCATGGATAACTCTTGCAGTAAGACCTTGGAAGAAGACACCAAGACAGAAAAAGAAAATAAGCATGAAATATTTATGTGAAAATATAAAATGGAAAATATCTCAGTTCGACCCTTGAACCTCTCTCTGCACACCATCACATGACAACAATTACTGCCACAGCCAACCTACCCCAAATCATCAAAACACCTAATAATTCCCAAGATTGCTACTACCACCCCTAAAACCTTCTCTTTATCACCATAACAGAACAAGCACCTTATGCATGTAAACAAGTTACATACCGATCGAATGATGAAACCATGGGTGACCATCAAAATAGACAGTGCAAATATGTGACAAGAAGAGCACATCAAGAAATATTCATCTTACCACGTCTCATTTTGACGACACCTCTGAAGACTTGAATATTATTGTAGCACAGAGCTAATGTCCCAATTGCCATGATCTGGTAGTATTAGGAAAACCAAATCAGATTCAACATTTTAGTTAGATGCAAATCATGATGAATGATAAGAACACATCATGTATATGCTGTGGGATTGTACTTTCCTATTCTCACTGGTAGCACTTGGAAAATTGAACTAGACAATTAAAGGGAAAGACGCTACAAACATAGAAGGGGAAACTTCGAGAGAAACATTCAGTGTATTTTAGCTCATGATTCCATCATCGCAAAGAGTTCTATTGCAGAGTTAGTAAACAAAAAAGTACGGTGTGTTTGAGAGGACTAAAATATCTGAAAATCGATATACAAACATATCTACCTGTGGGATCGCACAAAAGCGAAAGATAGCAGGATCTCGCAATGCAGCCATGTATGTTAGGCAATCTTCAGCATGCGTCAAAGCATTTGTGACCATATCATTAAGGCACTGTACAGCCTTGACTGAGTTCTCCTCATATTTTAGGTCCTAGAGTCGATAAAATTAAGTAGATAACTGTCAAAGATACAACTTGCTCTTTCTGAAATAATATTAACTTTATATCTGCAGAGAAATTTAAGACAACTGATAAAAAGAAGACACAAAATTTGTGATGAAGCATAAGATGTACCTCAAGTTTGTTAACATATTTGCTCCAAATCTGGCGGGGCCAAAACATACGTGACTTTGGTATCTCATTTATATCTTCCAGATAGTCTCTGATAATGTTTGTTTTCTGAAATTAGTGCAAAGAACGAATAAGGGCCTCGCCGTTTAAACTACAGAGATCTTGTAAGATGAATAGTGAATACTGCACTGGTTGCTATACATATTAAAACTTAAAAGCAGTACCTGAAGAAATAAACCCATTGAGTTAGAGAGAGCATTAGAAGCTAGATCTTCTTTTCCTGAAGCATGAAATAGTTTGGACAACCCTAATCCAACAAGTCCAGCTACATAGTGACAGTATTCATCATATTCACCCACTGTTTCCACCTGAAAAGACAAAAAAGTAGTAAGTGGCATTACGTAAGTCTTTTCACTTGTCTTGCACAAAGGTAAATTAGAAGTTAGAAACCTGGAATATTAGTCATCACCAAACTATCTATTAATCATGTAATCTTGTCACTTTTAGTTGGCATGTATGGTATTAGATGAAATCCATCTAACATGGTAGGGGAAGTACATTGCAGAAAATATTGTGAGATAGATAAAAAAACCAATAGGAAAGATAATCTCAAGAATTTAATCGAAAGCTAAGTTGAAAACAAGTAGAACATATTTGATGATTCTTCCAGATCAATGATAAACCTCCACAAACATAATGTTTGAAACATACCTCCTTGCATATAAATTTTGCCATTCCTGCACCCATCTTCATGGTAATGTCCTCAATTGCCTCCTGATAACTGAAAAAAGAATGAAGATTTATCTGGCATTAACGGAAATATGCAATAATGCACACAGAACTAGTTACTGGTCAATGTAACTTCAAATATGAGAATGTCTATTTTCAGTAACATAACAAATATAAAACATATGGGGGTTGTTTGAGACCCATTTTTTGGTAGAATAAGTTTTATAATAGTGATTTTTTGTAGAATGTGTGGTTACAAAGTAAGAAAAAAGTTGGGTTTACGTGTAAAATTATTTTATTGGAAGAATGTGTAGTTGAAAATGAGTTTGAGAAAAAAATGATTATTTGTAGAATGGGGCATAAACAGGGGCACAATATGCAGACTTTTGTTAACCAAAACTCTATATGTTGGATATTGCTATTTCTTATCTCTACATGTTTTGTGGATTCTAGAGGATAATACATATGCTTAAATAAGCCAAAGTATACTTCAATTTCAAATATTGAGGCATGGGAAGTTTTAGTTGTTGAAGTTATTAAAAATGGAAACACGGACCAAGGGGCACCCAACCATCAACCAAAAAGCAATATATTTAGCATGTACTCGAAACCTTTTGCTTTCAGACTCCATGGTCCAAAATATTGATCCAATAACAACCAGGGCAACCGTGAAATCTCCATGGTCAGCTATCTCAAGATTCAAAATGCCTTCGCATTAGATTTCATAATTAAGAGAAATAACAGAAAATCCTATTCTTTTGCTTCTTCTCAAATAGGTATAGACATCTTGAAAGGATTTCAGTTGCTCTTACCCAACCTTTTTTTTCAGGGAATCTGTTTTCACCATTTATCTGAATTTCTAGGACCACATTTTACCAAAAATCTTACCTAGTATCAAAATATCATGGGGTTTTGAATACCTACAGGGCTTTCTAGTCATCAATATATTTCTTTCTAAAGCCATGCGACAAGATTCATGCAAGACAAACTAGTCACTTGAAATATTCAGCAATATTATCTATCATACTATCATTACTTGTTCAGTGGACCTTTTATAAGACATAGCATGGATAAAACAGAATGGCATAAAACATTCACACAGTTGACCACAAGTTTATTTGGATAAGGCTTAGTTGTTCTTAGTTTTATGAGTGGATGCTATACAAATAATCTTACCAACACCAACAAGATCAAATTAAATTTTGT